GCTTCAAATGGATAAGTTTTCTGGTTTCAGATAATCTCCAGATAGAAAGTGAATAAAATATAGTCATCAAGGCATTTTTTGGAATCAGTTTTTAGGTCCTTGGGGAATGCAGGGGTGCTTGGCTTAGACTGGCACTGATTGACTGTGCAAGGGTGGGGTAGCCTGGCTTGGAGCCAACCTGGATGTTTCTGCAATGACACTAACATCTTATTTGTTTGCCCAGCTCCCTAGCCTGGTCCTTAGCCAGAAGTAATTTCCTATCCTTAGTCCAGATGCTGTGTGACTGGGGAGGGAAAGCGTACATAATGTGAAAGGCATTCTGGTAAATTTCATTTTGCATTTGTCCTTGCTAAGGGGGAAAGGAGGGAAGGATTGGAAAATTTTCCCACCTACAACTGGTCTCCTCAAATTTCTTCTTTCTGGATAATTAGGCAATTAGCCTGTGACTTTGTAGTTTTCTTGTTCATCCTGGCAAAGGTAGGAATAGGTTTATAGCCAGCAAAAACATCTGTTTTGCCTATACTTTCTTGCCCTGCATGGTGAGGTTATCTACATTTGGTAATTTATATTTTATTTAATTTAGAAATCTTTCCACATCTAGGAACCAGAGCCATTGGATAGATTGCTGCCTTGATCAGAAATTATTTTTTTTTCATTTATTTGTGTGACTTGTAATAACTGTTTAGCAATATCCTTCACTCTCAACTAGTTTTGTGGAACGCTTGCTAGTGGCCATGTTTATCTAATCTGGATGACCACTTGTCAGATGTGTTGTAGGAGGGATTCTTTTGAGGGGCATAGGTTGCTGCTGATTTTTTCCATCACATCTGTGATTTTGCCAGAGAGCAAAGGAATGATGATAACTGTTCCGTCTGCTAGATGCTTGGTTACACCTGTCAGATGCATTCGTCAATCTCTTTGGAATACTGAATGTGTTACTTTTGGGACTGGAGTATGAGCTTCAGAATATGATTTTGCATAAAGGGCTACCAAACCATTCCTGTTACTTTTGTACAGTTTTGGCTTCCAACTCTCTTTGTGCATTCTTGGGTACATAACAGTTCTGTTATGTGTTTCTTAGGGCCCTGTAGGGGAACTTTTGTCCCAAAAAAGATACCTTGTGCTCAACACTTTGATGTTTGGTTTTATTCCCTGAACTCATACTTTCTCTTTGGACATTGGTTTTATGTTTCATTGTTAGCTATACTGTCATTCCTTTGATATTTATTGATAGAAACTATGAGTGATAACAGAGTAATAACCATAAGATGAACTGCATTACTTAGATAGGGGTGGTGTTGGAGAAGATTATATTTTAACTCAATGAAAACAATAAAATTCATATTTTTTAAAAAACATTTTTATTTAAAATTTTGAGCACCAAATCCTATCCCTCCCTGTCTCCTCCCCTCCCTGAGATGGTAAGCAGTAGATGTAGGTTATACATATGTGATTACATAAAATATTTCCATCTTAGTAATTTTTGTATAAGAAGACTCAAAAGAAAAAAAAGAAAGTGAGAAATAGGATGCTTTAGTCTGTTTTAAATCAATATCAGTTCTTTCTCTGGAGGTGGATAGTATGCTTCATCATTAGGCCTTTGGGATTGTCTTGGATCATTGTATTGCTGAGAAGAGCTAAGTCATTCACAGTTCTTCATTGAACAGTATAGCTGTTACTCTGTAAAATGTTCTGGTTCTGTTCACTTCACTATGCATCAGTTCATGCAAGTCTTTCCTGGTTTTTCTGAAATCATCCTGCTTGTCATTTCTTATAGCACAATAATATCCCATTACAATCATTGTTTAGCTTGTTTAGCCATTCCCCAATTGTCGGGCATCCCTTTGATTTACAATTCTTAGCCACCACAAAAAAGAGCTGCTATAAACATTTTTGTACAAACAGATCCTTTTCCCTTTTTTTTTTGGATGTCTTTGGGCTATAGACCTAGTGGTGGTATTGCTGATCAAAAGGTGTGCAGAGTTTTATAAACATTTGAGCATAGTTCTAAACTGCTCTCCAGAAATTCATATAGTTTTAATCTCTTCTCCACCTCTGTGTCATAGTGTCATTATCCCCAATTTTCTGAACTCTTCTTATTCCCTCAAGATTTTTTCTTATTAACTTAAGGGACTCTAAGTTAAATAGACATGGGCTGCTTCAGGCTCCCAAAACACTTGGGCACAAAGATAGGATAGATGTTTGCACAACATTATTCAGCTTTGAAAATGAAAACTGTTCTAATTGACATTTCCAAATGGGTTGTGTAAGAACTCACCTGGCTTGAAGCAAGTCAACATTACCATTCCCTCCTCCCCACAATGATCTGTTTTAGGAGGCCTGGGGTTCTGCCACTTTGACTTTATTTTTTTATTTTTTGTTTTTTTTTTATTTTTTTTTTGCTAGGCAATGGGGCTAAGTGACTTGCCCAGGGTCACACAGCTAGTAAGTGTTATGTGTCTGAGGCCGTATTTGAATTCAGGTCCTCCTGAATCCAGGGCCGGTACTCTATCCACTGCGCCACCTAGCTGCCCCCACTTTGACTTTAGCAAGCAAAAGAGTAGCCCGATTACCAGCCGCAGTGTGGTGGAATTTGCTGTTTGGAAAATAGTGACCTCTATCTTGGCAAATCATTTACTGCTTTCATTCCCAGCATTGCCTTTCAAGGATAGCTACTCATTAAATCAGGGTTATATGTACCTTTGTATTGGAGGGTGTTATAAGTGCATATAATTAGCAAAGAATGTGAAAGATTATGCTGTCCAAACTCGAAAGTGCTGATCTAAAAACAAGGAACACATTCTTTCGGCTTCCAGTGCATTACCTTATAATAAAATAAGGAAAATGAAAAGGAAGAGGTGTTGACCTAAAAACCTTTTAAAAAGTGCCCAAGAAAAGATTTAAGAGACATCTATTAACTTTCTCCCAAACACTAGGTGATACAGGTCTTTTTTGGTCCTTTGCCATAGGTCTTGAGGAATCATTCTTGTTTTTCTATAATATATTTGATCAGCTTTGCTTGTTTTGAACCTTGGCATTGCCTCTTGTCTTGCTGTCTTATTTCTCAATATCATATCTCCAGTGGTTGTTCCTGCCTTAGCCTTCCTGAAGTAAACAATGGTACATTTGTAGGTAGTGGGACCTAAAATAATTCAAGTAGTTAGTTAAGCAGTGGATTGAAAATATAGACTATGAGTTCCAGTTCCTGGTTTTTGGGGCAATTTTAGTCATGTTCATACTAGGCTTTCAATTGCTTTATAGAAAGGGACAAAGAGAACTAGTAGACTATAATGACAGTTGATAAGCTTTAAAGTTTGGAAAACCCTTTACATAACATTATTTCCTTTGATCCTGATAATACAGATGAGGAAATTGAAGCAGAGAGAGGTTAAATGCTTAACCATAGCTACTGAGTGTCTGAAATAGGATGTGAACCCAGTTCTTCTTGACTCCCAAGTCTAACACCTGATGGACCATCTATAGTGAAAATATACCATAGAAGGTAGTTAATAGTTTATCCTAATCCCTTGATGCAGAGGCCACATTTAAAAAAAAAATAATTTGGCTTAGTAGGCTATAATAGGTTTTTTATTTCTTGAGACTCTGTACAGTTGGAAAGGGACTGTAGAGCTAACCACTATAACCTTTTCCTTTCTAACATCCTTAACACATGGTGCATTTATGCAATTTTCATTTCCTACCTGGTTGTACTCCTGTGGATTTCTTCATCATGCCCACAAGAACTTTATTATCATGCAGGAATATATCAACTTTGGTACACCTACCTCCTCAGTGCCCTCTGCTTCTGGGTCTCCTCTGTGAATGGAGGGTGTAGTGGAGAGCGCCTTCCCAAACTTGCATTTAAGGAGAGTGCCCATGCCAGCCATCTCTTCATTTCCCATAATGGTTGTGCTCTGGACTGGACGTCTCCATTATGCCTCCTTGATGGGCAATTTTCCCTTCTCCATGCCCCCTCCTTTTTTTTTTTTCTGTGTTGTCTTCTCTCATTAGATTATAAGCTTTTTGAGGGCAGGGACTGTCCTTTTTCTTATTTGTATCCCTAGAACTTAGCAAGGTGCCTGACATATGCTAAGTACTTAATAAAAATTTGTTGACTGACTGACTATTCAAGCAAGCCCATTTCCTTATGAAGACTCTATTATTAATGTAGCTGATAGAATGCTGTGTTCAGAGTCGGTATTGCCTGTGTTCAAAACCTTCCTCAGACACTGCTTGTGTGACTATGGACATGTCATTTCACCTCAAGAGACAAAATTTTCTCTTCTATAAAACAGGAATAATAATAATAGAAGGGGTCATAAAAATCTTAGTGAAGTTTTAGCTCTTAATAAGCTTTAAAAAGCTCAAAACTGAACTAAAACTTTTGGGTACTCTGTACTTTGTAGTACTTCTCTCCCAGACCTGTTTGTGAGGCTTACAGGAGACTGTGCACATTGCAGTTTTTAAATGCTGCGTATGTGAAAATCACCATCACCATTATCTTCACTATCATTACTTTTACCCTGTTTCCTTTTGTGTCAAAACAAAGAAACAAGAAAACCTACCCAAATCTCTGTATTCAGATGAAAACTACTTGGGCTCAGTTACCAAATGGTTTTTTTGTTTTAAAAGTAGCAAAGGAAACTCATATATACAAACTTGCTGGTGTTAACTTTGGAGTGACATGGCAGAGGTGATGTTAGACAAAACAAAAACTTTAACTTCTCTGTTCAGATTGTTGAATGAGATTAATAGGAAAAGGCATTCTTATTAACCTTGGCAGAAAGTTTGTCATTTATTTTAGAGAAGTTTGTTCACCTTCATCAATATTTTATGCTAAATGTGAGTGGGGAATGATTTTGTTCTTACTTTTAATGGAACATCTGCATTCTGAGCCATCAGAAATTCTTAATATTCTAAGTAGGAATAAATAAGTGGTTTTAATTGGATAATTTTTTTTTAAGTTTTCATATATTCAGATTTGTTTTTCTTCTTTGCAGGCAAGAAGAGACTGATAGAAGAGTGAAAAATGTAAGCTATGTTTACCTTTCTACTTCCACCCAAATTATGTTACCCTTACGTGTGTCCAAAAAATAGCTAATAAGCTCTGCCTCTTTTCCAATGACCCTTTTTTTGGGTTAGAAATCATTCATTTGTGAAATCCTGAGTGTATTTGGCTCTAGACATTTGCTTGTGCTTTCTAAATCTTGTTAGATGAGAAGGAGGAGGGAAGTTGAACTATAATAGGAAAGAGACAGTGGTGGCATTAGTATGATTAGAGGCAGTCCAAAAAAATTTTCAGGCAAATGTTTGTGTGTATATGTGTAAATGGTGTAGTTTGAAAACTATTTGAAAATCTAGTTATGTGAAATTTAAAAGTACATTTTATAAAACAGATTTTATGATAGTAAAGGAAATTTTATGGTAGGATGGAATGGAAATTTGACAAACAGTTTTTTCCCCCTCGGTATCTTTGTAGTGTTAAGGCTTATGTTTATTATCTGTGTAATTAAACATGCATTGTAAAACTACAATTATATAACTCTTGATATGATTAATAAAAACGATAAGAATTTCTGTAAATATTTTCCCTAAATATTTTAATAAGCATTCAAAGCTCTATAAATAGGTTAATTACTGAAGTGTTTTCACTTAAGTGTCTAGATACAACTTTGCTATGATAATTTTATGTTTTATATTTGTAGATTTATTTGGCAAGAACTCATCTCCACCCCTTGCCATTCTCTCTTCTTCCCCCTTATCCCTCCTTCCCCCCCCGCCCCCAGAATATCTAGTATACTTTATCAACTTATTCAAGCTATGGGCATCTTTGGAATAGTACTAGAAAACTCTGGTACTTTTTAAATTTTATTTTCTAGATTGAAAAAATATGTTCTTCAGCTTTAAAGTAGTCTGAGTTATAATTTAGCAATTTTTTCATACTATTTGGTTTGGAAATGAGTTAAATGCTTGACTAATAATCTTTTTTTTGGTGTAAATTGTATTTCATTTTTTCCAATTACATGTAAAGATAGTTTTCAATTTTTTAAATGATTTTGAGTTCCAAATTTTTCTCTTCTCCTCTTCCCTGTTCCCAACATGGCAAGCAATATAGGTTATACAGGTGCAATCATGTTAAATATATTTCTACATTTTGACTATAATCTTAACTTGTGAGATTCTCTTTCTCTTCAGGTTTTGATTACCTTATATTGGCTGGGCAGGAAAGCACAGAGTGACCCTTATTATTAATGGTCCTTACCTTAATCTGAAGGCATTTGAGAACCTTTTAGGACAAGCTCTAACTAAGGTAAGGAACTTAGTGTTTTAAGTATAATATAATCTCTTGTGTAACAAAAATCACATGCTATGATATAATCTTTGTTCTCCGCTAACTTTGCATTTAAATAGATGTCAATAGGAAATACCTTGTTTAGCTATCATAGGCCCTCAGGTCACACAAGGTCAATTAACTGAAACCGCTGTGAGTGGAAAGAGTTAAAAAAGCCCCCATATAGACCAAACCCCTGGATTAAAATCCTGCCTCAGAAATTTACAAGATTTGTGATCTTGGGGAAGTCACTTAATCTACTCAATGTCTTAGTTTCCGTTCTGTTAGGTGAGGGATTTGGATTTGAAGATTTCTCTTGTCCTATCCCTTCCTACATCTATGATCCCATGTGCCCTTTTTGGAGGGAATCTCTTATCGCATTGATAAAGAAACTTAGACTCAGAGAAGTTAAATGATTTGCTCAAGGCCACAGAAGCAGTAATTTGTTGTTTTTCCAATCACTTTTGTTGTGTCTGACTTTCTGTGACCCTATTTGGGGGTTTTCTTGGCAAAGATACTGGAGTGGTTTGCTATTTCCTTCTCCAGCTCATTTTACAGATGAGGAAACTGAAGCAAACAGAGTTAAGTGACTTGCCTAGGGTCTATTAAGTTATTAATACACAGCTATTAAGTGTCTGTGGTGAGATTTGAACTCAGGTCCTCCTGACTCCAGGCCTGGTGCTCTATCCACTGTGTCACCTAAGTGCTGTAGTAAGTAATAGAACTGGGATTTTAGCTAAGGTCCTCTAATTCTCTATCCTGGTCTTTTACTACTAAACCAGGCTTACCTGTTGCTTCAGTTACACTGTTTTTTGGTTTTTAAAATTACTTCCCCATCTTTCTTATTTTTAAGCACTAATAGTTACTGGAGAGGCTCTAACCATGTAAATGCAAACTAGAATCTGATTTTAACACTTATTTGTCCTTTGATTTACATGTCAATAGTGAAGGCCCAGTGCAGCGCCGTTTGAATGAAATATGCAATAAAAAATTATTAGTAATGGTTAATTAAATTCCTGGAAGGTTAAGCTAACCCGCTGTTAATTTAAAAATAAAATTCTTTAGGTACTTGAAGACTCCAGCAGTCTGAAAAGGAGTGGCAGGGACAGTGGCTACGGAGATATTTGGTATACTGAACGTGGAGAATTTCTTAGTCCTTCAGCCTACCACAAAAGAGACGATTCTTTTGATAGCTTGGATTCTTTTGGGTCTAGATCATTCACAAGCTGTTCATCAGATTTAACTCTGAAAGGGGGCAGTGAAGGTAACTTAAATTTTTTTTTAAAGTTATCCAAATAATATGTTTTTCCCTGGATGAAAGAGTGTGTATAGTTGTTGGAGGGGATATGGCAGGGGAGATATGTTTCAGGACAAATAAAGCTAGAAGAATTTAGGGCCACTAAGCAGTCATGTCATTATGTAGCAACGTTGATATTTTCTTCCTTTACTATTTTTTTTCCTTTTCTCTTTAAATCTATGTTTCTGGAATTTTTAAAAAAGTTGGTGGCATAACATATGAATGCCTGTTTAAGACTCCTTAGACCATTACTTTATATCTACTAGTATAGTGGCATGTCAACTGGCTCTTTAAAAAAAAACATTATTGATGTCTTGGTTTTAAATCCTATTCATTTCTGAAAGTGCCTTCCCCCTCCCATACCCAGAGAAGCTTCTCATGTAAAAAAGATATAAAAGAAAAAAAATAGTTCAGCAAAACCAACAATACGTTGGCACTTTCTGTATACCACATTATACATCTGCAACCCCAATGTCTTTAAAGAAAGGAGAAAGGAACGTTTCTCTCTCTCTCTCTCTCTCTCTCTTTTTTTTTTATACCAAGTCACGTCAAGTATTTTTGACTTTAAATCTCTGCATGTTCCTGACTGACATTGTTCCTGACTGCAATTTCAGGCAAGGAATATTCCTTCCTGGAAAATTCCTCTGGTTCCACCTTCTTCAACAGGAAACAGCTACAAAATTGGAATTGTGAGTCAGATGGTGACAGTAGGTTGTTTATCCTTCTGCTTAATTCATGTCTAAATAAAAATGTTATTTTTGAACTTTGGAATTCTTCAAAATAAACTCCCATTTACCAACTATTGCATTTGTTTTAAAAAACCAGTAAACAATCAAATATATTCCCTTTTAAAGTAGACCCATGAATTATCTTTCATTAATGTTTCTGATGTTAGTTGCAGTTAGTTTATTCTTAAGGCATGTGAAAATACATTTTCATAAATCCCTGTAGTTTCATTGTTCTTTTTATTTGAGATAATTTTTAATACACAGTTCACCTGAGTGACTAAACCATTAAGGGAGAACTAGTGATTGAAATTCTTAGCTTACTTTATTATGGAACTGTCCAAAGAACTTGAAACATGTAGTGTGTGTGTGTGTGTGTGTGTGTGTGTATACACACATATACATAGATATAGATAGTGTCAGGGAACCATAATGATAAATGAAAGAGAAACGTACAGGAAAGCATGAACATCAGAAAATTCAAAAGTAGTCGTAGAACAGTGCTGAATCCAAGCCTCTGCTTTAGGATTCATCCCCATAAAGGCTAAAAACATTATTCTCTTGCTCAAAAATCTTCAGTGACTCCCCATTGCCTACTGACTTGCTTCAAATCCTTGTCTTGGCATACAAGATCGTTTAAAATCGATTCCCAAGTAAGCTCTATTTCCAGCTTCATTTCAGACATGCCATTTTATGTGTGCTATATTTTAGTTAAATTGTTTGACCTACTGTCCCTCTTTTTGTACTGTGTTCTTCTATATGTTATACCTTTGCTTATTCTGTCCCCTGTGTCTAGAGTCTACTTTCCTCCTTCCTCCCCACTTATTGAAATCCTTTCAATTCAGACTTAATTCATCAACCATCTCTTAGTAAAATCTTACTTCCCCTTTCCCCAATTATTCCTATTTGACAGTTTTCATGATCTATATGGATATTTCCTCTGCACTTATCACTCTGTCTTTATTACTCTCCCTGTAAAATTGTAAGCTTGAGGCTATAATTATTTATTTTCATATTTGTATCCCTACTTCCTAACATAGTGCCAAAGATTTAGTAGGCTCTTGATTTTTTTGGGGGAGGTTAATCAATTGAATTGGAACTGTAGCTTTCTCTTATCCTGACACTTTTTTGGAGAAGAAATACTGATAGCGTTTGTAGAATGATGGTAGTTAAGGGTTGGGTGTATAGCCAGTGAAATAAAATGAGTTTCCTCTTTTAGGGATTCAGTGAATTCTGTTACAAAACACCTGATATTTATCAGGTTAGTGTCATAAACTGGTCATCATTAAGTACTTTCTTAATATACTTAAAAATAAAACCAGTTTACTAATTTTTATTGTTTATTTTTTTCTATAGGGTTTGTGTGTATGTGTGTGTGTGTGTGTGTGGTATTCCCATCACTGACAAGCATTTTTTGAGTCAGGCAATATGGTACAAAAAGTAGTACATTTGGAGTTAAGCAGGTTTGGGGCTCTCTACATTTGACTCCAGACTTACCTTTATGCCTTTATTTCATCCTATTTGTAGTCTAAGACACAGATATCTTCTACCTATTTGATGTGAAATAACAGCTTTCCGAACTTTCATTTCCTCATCAGTAAATGCATTCATTTGTACTATCTACCTTGAAAAATTGTGGGGGAACTTTGTAAATAGAAGTGTGTCATTCACAAGTGAGTAAGGTTCAAAAAATTACTACCAAGTGTTTACTGTTCATAGACACAGTAACAATACAAGACACAAAATAACTCAAAATTTCAGCTCTCAGAGTGAAGTGATCTAAGTTTTAGTTATAAATTTTCATTAAATTACATACTTTGACAAAAGTTGCTAGTGTGTAATGTAATGTAATCAGAAAAAATACCAATACCAGAAAAACATATTGAGGTACTTACAGTATTAGCTACTTGCCAATTCAGTCACAAACTCTTAAGAAATGGATTCTTAATCTTTTTTTTTTTTGGTGTCACGGGCCTCTTTGGCAGTCTGGTGAATGAAGCCTGTGGTTTACCTCTCAGAATGTTTTAAATGCATAAGATAGAATACTAAGGATTTCAGATTATATTAGATTTATAAAACTATTTTTAAAAATCCCAAACAAAACAAGTTAATGGATCTCACTGATGTAAGAACTTTCATCCTCTTTTTCTTCCTCTAGCAACTTGATGTACCCTCTTTTCCCCATTACTGTAGTATTTTGCTATTGGGTCTCTGTTCTTTCTCATATCTGTTATAGATTCCCTCTTACATTTGGGCAAAACCTCATCAGCTTAGATTAACCCTAGTGTCCCTCAGGTTACTATCTTTTTCTTACCTACTGGGTCCTTCCATTTCTGCCAACATACATTGCTTTGAGAGGGTGCTGTTGAACAGAGCTGCCTTTGTGGTGGGCATGACAAAGGAAAAAAAAGTGAAATGAGTGAAAGTGGTAGTAAGAGAGGGGGAAGGAAAGGAAAGAGATATCAGTAGCAGTAGTTGGTTGGGGCAAGTATACTCTGATTGGAAAATAAGCCCCTTTCCTTTTTGTCCCTCTCAAACCTCCTTTCTTTCTTGTCTCCTTTTGTCTCTCTAAACACATTTTGTATTTATTTGAATGAGAAGAGGATAAGTGGATGCACTTTAAAAAATTTGTGCAATGATTTAACATCATAATACAAAATTTGCCAAAGCAATTTCTATCACTACCAGTGGTGAATATCTTGCACTTGGCCCACTGCTTCCATCTAGTCACTAATCCAAGATCTTTTGAAATTTGTTTGTGTGTCTTTCCAACATAGACATGCATGCATACATTTACTGTATTTTCATTGCCTTAGTTAAAATTACTTAATTACCTGGGAACTATTTTAGCATCTTATTTTAAAGAAGGTTGATTATGACACAATTTGCCATGCAAAGTAGGTTTCTGGAAAACTGTGGAGTTAGGGGCATGAGGGGGAAGAGACTAGAAATAAAGATGGTTTGGCAAGAGATTAGCATTTTGTTTTCTGCATAGAATGTGGTACAGTGAAAGAATGTAATGCATGTAGCTCCAGTATGCAAAGCAAGTTCCACCTAATGGTTCTTATCACAACTTCATGACAAATTTCTAAAAATAATCTGAGCAGTTAGCATCAGCAGTGCTGAGTTTCCAAGGGAAAGACAGGGAAAGCAAGCTGTGTGGGTTTCAGTTAGATGCAAAATCTGGAGAGTAAAGCAAAAAAAAATTGTACGTGTGCTTCTTTTTAGGTTGTGAGAGTGACACAGATTCTGAACTCACATTCAAAATGCAGGATTATAACAAGGATGATATGTCCTATCGAAGGATATCAGCTGTTGAGCCCAAACCTGCTCTACCATTCAATCGTTTTTTACCCAACAAAAGTAAACAGCCAACCTATATGCCTGCACCACTGAGGAAAAAAAGGCCAGACAAGAATGAGGATAATCGAAGAAGCTGGGCAAGTCCTGTGTACACCGAGGCTGATGGGACCTTTTCAAGGTACTGGTGTTGACTTCAAATATTTACTTTTCAAATTCAGTATATTTAGTGGTATTATTGTGATACAGTACTTAAAATATGGCAGAGAAAATAGATTTTGGACCTTCTTTATTAGTGGTCTCCCTTCTCCCTCCAATCTTATTTTAGTCATTCATATCAGAAAGATTTCTTTCTTCCAGTTTAGGATGTCAGCATGCGATTCAAAGTTCCTGTTTTGAATGTATATCTTTGAGTTTACTGTTATACCTCTCAGTTTGCCACCCAGTTCTTAGGTGTTTTCATGGTCAGTGTTGTTGTTTTCTGCAATTTCTTCCTATTTTGAATGACCTCAGTGGAGACAAAAAAGAATCATTTTAACTTCCCATCATATTAGCAGAATAGGATGTGGTTTTTCAAATCCAGCTTCAAATCTGATGGTGATGTGTGACTATGACAGTGGTTCAGATTCAGAAAATGAACGAAGGTTGCCTGACATAATTTTGGATGACTTAGCCAACCGTAGATTCCGAGCGAAAAAGAGGCATGAGTGCTCCCCGGCATCTAGACAGCTTTCCATCTTGAAAACCAGCCTGCCTAAGTCTTGTTCACAAAAGCTTTCTACAACTGATCCTTTAGCTACTGGATTCAAGGAACTGATGAGGTCAGAGAGATTTGTATTGGATATGAATATCTACTTGTGTTGCTAATTCATTTTAATCCAGAAAATAATGCCTCCAAAGTGTCATTTGTTTCCCTTGCCTTCTTTTCCCTTTCCCTCCCCTTCTCCTACTCTCTTCTCTTACTTTCTTCCTTCCTGCCTTCCTTCCTCTGTCCCTCCCTTCCCCTCTCTTTCTCTCCCTCCCTCACCTCCTTCCCTCCTCTTTCTTTCTTTCTTTTCCTTCCTTCCTTCCTTCCTTCCTTCCTTCCTTCCTTCCTTCCTTCCTTCCTTCCTTGCCTCCTTCCTTCCTTCCTTCCTGCTTCCTCCTTTTCCTTCCTTCCTGCCTGCCTTCCTTCCTTCCTCTTTCTTTTTTTCTCTCTCTTTCTTTTTTCCTTTCTCTCCGTCCTTTCCTCCCTCCCTCCCTTGCTTCCTTCTTCTGTCCCTCCCCCCTGTCTTTCTCTCCCTTTCTCTCCCTCCTTTCCTCCCTTCTTTTTTTCTTTCTTTCCCTCCTTTACTCCATTCCTCCCTCCCTCCCTTCCTGTCTGCCTTCCTTCCTCTGCCCCTCCTTCCCCCTTTCTTTCTTTACATTTCTCTCCCTCCCCTTTTCCTTTCCTCTCTCTCTTTCTCTTTCCCTCCCTTCCTCCCCTCCTCTCTCTTTATATCTTTCTTTCTTTCTTTCTTTCTTTCTTTCTTTCTTTCTTTCTTTCTTTCTTTCTTTCTTTCTTTCTTTTTTCTTTCTTTCTTTCTTCTTCTTCTTTCTTCTTTCTTTCTTTCTTTCTTTCTTTCTTTCTTTCTTTCTCTCTCTCTCTTTCTCCCTCCCTCCTCCCTCCCTCCTCCTCCCTCCCTCCCTCCTTCCCTTCCTTCCTTCCTTCCTTCCTTCCTTCCTTCCTTCCTTCCTTCCTTCCTTCCTTCCTTCCTTCCTTCCTTCCTTCCTTCCTTCCTTCCTTCCTTCCTTCCTTCCTTCCTTCTTTTCTTTCTTCCTTCCCTCCCTCCTTTCTTTCTCTTTTTCTTATAGTCACTAAATAATTGTTCTATGCAGCTCCAGTGGTTCATTTGGTTATTCAGTGGTTGTGATGAAATGCATCTATAATGCCTTAACTTTGTTTTAGGGACTGCAGTGATGAAAGTGAGAACTAATTTGCTTCATTCACAGTGGCGTGAACTTTGTGAGCCAAAAAGCATGCCTTTTGTGTACTCCTTGTCAAATTGCTCATAAAGTATCTTAACTGGTTGGATGTTTTGAACAGTAAACAGAGGAGGAAATGGGACACTAAAGTGGAAAACAGGCCAACAATAAAAGAAACTTCAAACTCCTCTAGCTATTTGGAGGAGGAGGAGGAAGAGGAAAAAGATGAAAAAGCAACAGGCATGCCAAACATTGTAAAGGATGATCTTTATGTGCGCAAGCTAAGTCCAGTAGTGCCCACTGCAGGGAGTGACTTTGACAAGTTTCTCCCCAAAAGTTGGACTCCAGAAGATCTGAGTTGGAAAAGAATTAAAAAGACGTCATCTTACAAACCATGGTATAAGGAGTTTCAGGGATTCAGGTTTGTCTTCACGCATGTTTCTGTGGAGCTTGTATACTTTGACTTGACTTATTTGCTTTTGTGTATGTCTTTGTACACAAAAAAGTTGTGGGGGGAGGCAAGTTTCTTCATACTGTTTCTGGCCAGGTCATGTCAGCACTTTAAGCCTTTGAGGTTGTTTTGGGAGATACTGGATTTGAAAAGATGTATTTAATTGACAAATTTAAGAAATGTCTGGCTCCTGAAAAAAAAAAAGATTCTATTCCATAAACAACTGTGACTTTATACTATTTTCAATAGTCCTATTTTTCTCTATCCCTTCCTTCTTATTTTTCTTTTCCCTTCCATATCATGACATAATAGAAGGAATTCAGACTCAGAAGATGAGAATTCAATCTGTGAACAAAATCCTGCCATTTTTAGTATGGCACAGAGAGCAGGGCAAGGTTCAGATGGCAATTGCCAAAGACGGTCAATCTTGATGGACCTCGCTACCAAACAAGCCCCCAAATCATGGAACAGAAATACGGACAGGAGATTCAGTGATGCTTCTGATAGACCAAGGTTGATATGATTGCATGAACCTGACCCATCTGAAGAGTGATCTCAGATTGTCTATCTACTTGCTTCTGCAGCTGCACTAACCCAAGCTGATGTGACAATCCTATTTTTACTGTACTGAAGCATGAGATGCCATTTTTTGAATGCATTCAGTATGAAAAATGATAAAAGTGGCTTTTGGCAAGCTTATGACTTTAACATTTATATAGATTTTATTTTTAAAAAAAACACCTGGAACTTCAATTTTAAGCTCTTTCAAAAGTAGAGAATAACATACCTGTGACATAGCAATTTAATTTACATTTTGAAATACAAACATTTAGAAATTTTTACAGTTTTATAGTTGGATGCATGTACATTGGAAACAAAATATTTTGCTAAGTACTTTTCAGCTATTAAAAAAAAATCGGGCCCAAATATTTCCTTTTCCTTTTTTTTTTTAATTAAAAATCTTCTTCTTTGACCCAGATCTGGAATTTTATAGGTATAAGGAGCTTCCTGTGTGGAAATGTCTTCCATCAACACAGATCAGTAACTTATAACTTGCCATGGCATCGAGAAATTAGAATACTTGCCAGTGGCAAACAGCTAGGATATGTCAGAGTTTCCTCTTGAACCTGGGACTTCTTGTTTCTAAGGCCAGCCTTCTATTCAATATGCCATGCCGTCTTTCCATTATAACCTGAAAATATCTGGAAATGATCAGTGAATAATCTTATAATCTGTTTTCTGTGCTAATGGTCAGGCATTTTAAAGATATTTTGGAATTCTGTGCTTTCCTTGCAATTATATATTAGGGAATATGGAAGCAAATACATTTTTGATTTAAAATCTTTCCCCTAAAATATGGCCTTATGATATTTGTTATCACCATTATTATTTTATACTTGGAGGAGAAATGAAAGGGTTTATAAATAAAAAGAGAGCATGTAGAAAAAGTTGAGTTTGAGCCTGATGGGGAGAACAGAAGGATGAGGAATAACAGTGAATTGTTGTTCTGTGTCTGTGCATTTTTTATTTTTCACAGGCTGTGATATGCCTAATAGATTAAATGTGTATCTCCCAAATAGGGTAGTTCCTCACTGTTGTTCTTCATTCTTATTAAATCAATTTAGGAGATATAGCACAGTTAAAACAGCTCAGAATTTGAAACATAGAAACTTTGTTTCATGACCCTGCTACTTACTACCTGTGTGACTTTAGGTGAGCTGCTTAAACTCTCTATGCTCCAGATACCTCACCGAGGACATTGGAGCAGACAATCCAAGATTCTTCCATCTGTAGATTTAGGGTCCTTCTCCCTGGGTAGTATAACCAGCTGGTATGAAGACAATATTTGATAAGCTAAATCTATGCATAATACTTGCTTTTTTCTACAGAGAAATCAACTCAGTCCCATCCTTTGGCACTTCTGATTTCCTTTGTTGGGCTGTTTTCAGTTAGTTGAGTTAGTTTACTATATTTTTTATACTGGATTGTGTAGTAGCAAAGGTATATTACAGTAGTTTTTTTCCCCCAGATAGAGCAATCTCTCTGCTTAAGCACCCCCCAAAATTTACATATACTGTTTAGTTTTTCTCTAATTTAGTTGCCTTTTAAAATAGTTTCTAAGATTCTACCTTCCTTTTCTTTTATATGCTTCAGTCAGTTTTTATTACTTCAGGCCTTACAAACATATTCTGATGACGTCTTGTCTTCTGAAACAAAGACCAAAATTGATCCCACATCTGGCCCAAGGATCATAACATGCCGAAGGAATGTCTTTTATGCCCCTGGCTATAGAAGAGATGATACTGAGAATGGAGTATTGGATCCTGACTTAGAAAATGACGATTACTTTGTTAGGAAGACTGGGGCTTTCCATGCAAATCCTGTTGTTCTTCAAGCCTTCGAAAATTTTAGAAGATACTCTGTAACAGATGATTTCATAGAGCGAGATATAATCCTGCAACAGCGAGAAGGTGATCCTACACTTCCAGATTTAGAAAAAGATGATATGATTGTTCGCAGAATTCCAACACAGAAGAAAGAGGTGCCTTTATCAGGAGCCCCAGATAAATATCACCCAATCCCCTTTCCAGAACCTTGGACTCTCCCACCAGAAATCCGAGCCAGATTTCTCTGTGTGCTTGAAAGGACATCTCCATCAAAAGAAAAAAGTAGTAGTTGTAGAGTCTTAGTTCCATCTTCTTGTCAAAAGAAAGATGATATGTTGACTCGTAAGATTGAGTCCTGGAAATTAGGAGCAACTGTACCATCCATCAGTTTCACTCCTGGTCCATGCAGTGAAGAGGACTTAAAAAAATGGGAGGCTATCCGAGCAGCGAGCAAAGTTAGGCACAAGAAACGACAGATGGTTGAGAGGTCAGAGTGTGTTTCTGCAAGAATTGTTCATTTATTTAGCTGATTGTCCTGTCTAATTCTTGTGAAAGGGCAACATTATGTGTTGCTAAACCATGCATGCCATGTGCAAATTTGAAAAAAATTAGTTTTATTTTGCTTTGATAAAATTACTCTTGTCTGGCAGAAAAAAAATATGCAATACCATATTTATACCCCTTGTTCTCTTTTAAAACTAGAATTTAATTTCCTTCCTTAAATTTACCTGCTCAGGTATTGTTATGGATGTACATTCTGAACTCCAAAAATTATGAAACTTGCTTGTTACCTTAAGCAAAAGCACAATTCTCCATTATAACTTGAGATTCCATGGAAATAGTCAGCAGTTGTTTTAATAAACTCTAATTATTGATGTCCAGGCATTTTGTAAACAGTCTGGATATATTTTGTTTGAAATTATGTGTTAGGGAACATGGGAGTGTATATAAGTTTGATTTAAAATCTTTCCGCAAAAATATGGCATTGCAAATTTCATTTCTCTTAATTTTGGTTTTGTCTCAGATTTTCCTGAGTTTCAGTCATTTGAAACATTTTTTGCTTTTGATTTGAGGCTTAACAAGGTTAAATGCAAACTTTGATGAGTGTAAAAATGCATGAATTTCATTAGTTCTCAGCTACCAAAATTCTTAGTGTCATCTGAACTTCTTGTGTATGTAACTATGGCCATTTTTGAAATGATGGAGTCTGCATTTATGTATTAAGTGATTTGTATTTTTGGTGTTGAATTAGAGGTGGACAAATCAGATGAGATTTATTTGGATTAACTTAATTGATTAGAATGCACCTCAGTTGTATGTGATGTTCAAAGGACCTAAATATGAGACTTTTTTTTTTTAAGGATTGCTGATTCAGGTATAATTCAAGAGACCTAAAGGATTTTGCCTAAATTTCGTCAAATTTTGAGAATGTTATTTAAATAATGTTGGATATATATTCTATGATATGGATAAATATATAAATAAAACTCTCTCACCTTTTAATATTTGTCCATCTCTAGTTAGAATAATTTGTGCATAAAATTTTCAACATTCAAGAACTAATACAACCAGAAAAACAATTAATGACCTTTTTAACTTTTGGTTTTCTGGTTTCTTAGACTCTTTCAAAAGATTTCTGATGAGAATGGGTAAGTTTTGTGGGGAATAATGGAAACCTTTTCTACAGTGTTGGTCCTTTTCTATAATTTGTGACTGATGAACGCATGTTTATTAATGCCTGGGCTAACCTGCGGTGCTGTGTGCCATGCATGAGGCTTTAAAATGTTATATGTGGCAAGATTTTAAAGTTTAGGAAATTTAGGAGCTATATTTGAGTTGTTCTAGTTCCTAAGCATTACATTGGAGAAATAGTGGTTAGACATTCAAAAGTCAACTCCTGACTTTTCCCCTAAATTTTTTGAACAGGTGGTTTAAAGTGGCAGAAATACTTACAGAAATGAAAACAGATCAAATGGTATTTTAATTACTGAATAGCCAAAAGAATATATGTGAAAACTTAAGTTTTAGTAATTTCCTAATGTCTTATTAAAATCCAAATTATGGTCTCTATTCTGAAAGAATGTCTGAACAAGGAATGTCAACATTTATCCATGTAGGCTTAGTTCTTTTTTGAGGTTACTTTACTTTAAAGGACATTAGTATTCATTTTAAAAATGTTGTCAGTACCTCTCTACAGCTGGGATGATGATCCCTTTGTCAGTGGTATGTGTACTTAGAGATAATTTTCTTAGATCAAAAGTTAATTTTCTGATAATAATGATTGTTTACATTGGTCCATCCACACTTTTACAGTTTCCCTTATGGCTAATCAGAAGAAATTTCAAGACTGCATAAGGCAGGGGTGTAGAATCTGCAGCCTTAAGGCCACAGGTGACCTTCTGAAAAGGCAGCAGATTTAGAAGGCCACCTGCAACCTTAAGGCCTCAGGTTCTCCACCCCTGCCTTAAGGGGTAAACTTTATTCTTCATTTATGGTAGCTTGAAACTTTAGAAGAATTAAGATCATAACTAATTACTAAATATATTCGGTAGCAATCTGTCCACAAAATAAATTTAGTAAAATTTCTGTGATTTGAAAAAAACACAACTTCTTTAGGCTTTTTCTTCCATTGTGACTTTAAATCTGAATTAAGTTATAGATAACAGAACAATTAAACTTTATCATGTAATTCACAACCACATCATACAAGGTAGTTATGTTTAACTCCTTTGCATTTCTACAATTAATGTGTATATATATATATATATATATATGTATATATATATATATAAATATAAAAATTACTAGATATTTTAAACAATAGCAAGGGAAGTGCAAAACCTGAAAAAAGAATAAACTGTCAAAGAGATGTTTAAGTAATTTTTGATCCTTAATCTAAAATATCTTGTAAAAATGTTACATGTTTTACATTTTAATTCTTCATGCTTTGTATCATGATCCCATTCTTTTAGGATTCAGGGGTCTCAGATCTACTGAAAGGACTTATTTAGGTAAATTGACAGCTATAGATAATAACTGAAAAGTAAATATTTCATAAATTAATATACAGTTTCTAGGTATGACAAGTAAAAGTGAGACATTGGGCAGGTCCTTGATAGGCAAGAACTTATTTGTCACCAGTTAAAAAGCGATTTTCAGACTTCATACTTCATTGGCAATAACAGAGACTCCATGAGTCATATTTAGTCTTTCATGCTTACAATTCACTGTGAGGAACTTGGTTCAAGAACTTGCTTGAAGCTCAACCTATTTAGAATTTAATATTTTCTTTCAAAATTCTTTTTAATCTAAGGGAAGCCTTAAAAATATGAAAGTAAAGTCATTAAAAAAAATGAACAAGAGTGGAGGACACATAGGATCCACCAGAATATTCATGGCTGTTTGAATACCTACCCTTTTTCGTCTTTAAATTCGGCCCAACTGCCTGAATGGAGCCAAGACTAAAACTGAGAAATATGAATGCTGCAGTTCAGTGTATTTATCTGTGGTTATAGTCAGTAGCATCAATGTTTTCTGTAGTTTGTATCTCAAGATTCTGCGCTGATAGTAGTTTTTAAAAATGCCCTCAATGCATCATGTTATCAAAGCATTTCCAGCAATATGCCCAGTAAATTGAGACTTCTGAATAATGAATGTGTTAGAAATAATGGAGAGTAGACACAATGAAGTGCGAATGTCTTAGTGGAGATGCCATTTATTCAAAATTTGCCTGTTTAAAAGATTTCAGGGAAAAATGCGTATGGAATCACATAAATTCTTACAATAGTTTTACTGTAATTAAAAATCCAAGCCGACACAGATTATAAATAGAAATTACATGGAGCTTAGGCTTTTAATGCAGGGCTTGCTTCATATTTTTCTGTTGTTTTTCTACTCCTCATGTTCTTAGTGAAGCTTGTAATACTTGAGAGCCTACTATCGCTCATTGTTCTGTCTTACTGCAAAGTAACTACTTATGGAAATGCTATTAACGTTGTCTCTTTGACAGGAGTTATGTTAAAGGGAAAGGAGTGCCCTATACCTACCTAGGCTTTGTGATTTCTGGCTTGCTTTTGTTGAACTGTTAACATCTGTCAATTTTTTGGCTTGTCTAGCAGGATGCATCATGTGTGGGAGGTATTTCACATGTGCATGCTTTTATGTTGCATGGATTTTGCTGTGGTTTTATGTAATTCAAAAGCTAGTACTTATTTAACGGTTGTTGGCAGAAGTCTCTAGTGATCAAAATTTGACATAAGAGTATAAGGGTGTACAGAAGTAATTTTATAGTGTGAGATGAAACCATATAATCCGTTGCCAATATCAGTAGGAAATAAAAGCTAATTAAAGGTAGAGTTATAATTGAAAAAAAAAATCAACATCCATATATGTTCAACTAATGTATTTTTAGCCAAAATGTTTTGCCTGACTTAAGCATCAGGTGAAGGCACAAGAGAAAATAGCCCCCTCCAAACAGAAATGGAATAGTTCTGAGCTGCATCCAGAGAGATTGTAGCATGCGTGGGCAGCTTTCCCATTTATAGGAGCTGTAGGTTCATATTCTAGCCTTGTGGTTCTAGAGGTTGTAACCCAAATCTCACCAATAAAAATTCTTCATCTCTTTTCCTGACCTTTCTTTGTAGTAATTACAGAGCCACCAAACAGTATTTGGCAAGCTCCATTGACATCTGCCCAAGTGAATCCCAAAGCTAGCTAGTAGGAGTGTAGTGAGAGGTCAGAAGTGAGGTACAATTTCAGATTCAGAACCGCACATATGGCTTGTTTCATTCATAGCTGACTCAAGTTAAAGGAGTGGATCCCCCAATGTATGGTGTGAAATTCATTCAGTTTGTTGTAAAAGACTGACTTAGAAAACTTCTGACAATGTATTTTAGGCAATGTTTGTTCTTTTTAAAGTCCCTTATTTATGGTTTTGAATCTAGGAACTTCATGGAATTTTATTTAGAAATAAGATACATCCACAGCTAATCAAAAAAAGCACTATTAGCCATTTCCTTGGAGAACTTGATATCTGGGTTATCTTGAGTAGAGGTCTAGTAGTGGATAGATAAAGATATTGCTGGGAGAAGAAGAAATTGAAACTTTTTTTTTTAAGGATGCCTGAGTTCATAATCTGTTTTTTATTTATGTTTTTTTTTATGTTTTTTTCTCTTTCTGTGGCCTAAAGCTTTATTACATAGACTTCCCATCTACTCTAATGGGGGCCAACTAGAAGCAAAGGCCTTCCTAGGGCAGTGACTTGGCCCAGTAAGTAACTTGACCCAGGCTGACCCAGGATAAATTCTGGATTGGTCCAGATTCCTTGAGACACTTTTTAAGTGCTCTCAGGTTCCAGTACATTCTGCATCATAGTCAAGTCAGCTGTCACTGGCTTCCTTACTCTTCCTCAAACAAGACATTCCCATCTCCCAGCTCTGGGCATTTTCATTGGCTGTTCTCCATGCTTGGAATTATCTCCTTTCTCATCTTCACTACCTAGCTTCCCATTTCAAACACCAGCTAAAATTCTGCCTTCTACCTCAAGCCTTTTCTGACCCTCTTCTCTTTATTCAACTGCTTTCCTCCTGTTGATTATTTCCAATTTATCCCATACATAATTTGTTTTTACGTAGTTGTTTGCATATTATCTCCTCCTTTAGACTATGCACTCCTTAAGAACAGGGACTGTGTTTTGCTTTTTTTTTTTTTTGGTCTCCCCAGAACTTAATAAATGTTTATTAACTGACTAAAGAGAGAGAGAGAGAGAAAACATATACATATAATTATAGTACAAAATAGAGTATGATAAATTGCAAAAGAGAGGTACAAAGTGTTGTGGGAATGCAGCATTAGGGAAAAATCACTCATGTCACAAAAAAGGAGAGTTCAGTTGATACAGAAACCAAGCATGTCAAGGTTCATGTAGTGAACAGTTGTGTCAAAAATCTATGTGTGGTCAAAAGATAAGAAAAAGAGATTTAAAAAAATCAGTGGGGACTAAGGAGAAATAATTTTCAATAGTGTGATAAGGATGGTTCTAAGCTCAAAAAGAGTAGCTTGTGGTTTTTTCCCCCCAGAATCTTGTAAAATTTGAGATGTCAAATAACTTTAAATATTCATGTGACTAGAATGTAAGGGTGAGGGAAATAGGGATGTAGTGATGATGTGCTTGTAACTATATTTAATACTTTCACTTAAATTTTTTAGCCTAGTTACATAAATAATTTGGTCACTGACATTTTGAATATTGAACTCTAGGCTTAACCATTTTCAGTGTGAATTCAGCACTTTTTAGAGACACATTTCACATTTATATTTAGTGTTAGTTTCTAGTTTCCTGTTTTTAGGAAAATACCACAAAGACTTATATAATAATATTATAAAATTATCTTCATAAAATCCTAAAGTGCTACAGTAGAAATTTAGATGTGACATCTAGGCACGTGTCCAGTCTTCTTTTTATTACCTTACATTTGATAGTGTGTACATTTTGGTGATCCCAGATAATTTTCTTGTAGGAACAAATCTTTGAGTGATGTCACTGCAGAAGATGTACATAATTTGCGCCAACTTCGCTATGAAGAAATGCAGAAAATAAAATCACAACTGCAAGAACAAGACCAGCAGTGGCAGGATGTAAGTATTCCCAAAAATTGGGGGAGGTGCTAATGAGGTGTGTCATGGGTCTATACATTTACATGATACTGAAAATTCTTTTCCTACATACTTCCTAAAATCAGTCTGTGGTCAACCCTTCCTTTGCATCTCAGTCTTGTTTCATAGTTAGTTTGCTAGTACTTCTCTTACAAGATTTTGGGGTGTTTTTGGCTCTATATCAATATTAATTATGAGAGTGCTTCTGTTATAATATTCCCAAAATCCTAATCTCTTTAAGTGTAAGAATGTATGTATGTGGGTATGTAAGGGCATGGGATACTATTTCTTAGCAGGAAGGAAGGTTGAGGTTCTAAAGATAGTTGTTGGTTGGAATACACAAATTCACTACACTCATAGAAGGAAATTACTTTGCTCATGGTCTATTTACAGAGTAATACTAGTTTGCATTTATAAGCTCTTTGCAGTTTCAGAAGAGGTTTACATACATTAGCAGAAGGCCCAGGACAAAGTGCTGGAGGCCATTAAAATGTCTCTTATAAAGAGACGCTATAGGAGGGGTTCTAGAATCTGAAGGACTTTGACCTGAGCAGTCAAATCAAAATTTAAAGGCTTTTGAAATTCGAAGAAATGACAAATGTCAACCATTGGTGAAATAATATTTCGCCTCAATCCTGGAGGGTTACTTTTGAGATTTTGAAAAGGAGAATCTCTGTGAAAGGTTTAGAGGAATGTTACTGGATGACAATAGATGGAATATGTGAATATAGCAGAAATTAAGGGCTTTCAAGTTCAGTATTAGGATACAAAGCATGGAATAGTAGCCAAGAGTGGTCAACTGACAAGCTTCTTAGGATAGGGGAGACCTGACCTGGGCTTTAAAGGAGCCATAGAAAATAATGCTTTAATAGAAGTGTCTGCATTTTCCACACAGCTTCTAAACACTACCTGTTTTCTAACTTTTAAGATCTCTGTTTCATTGAGGACAAAAAAATTTCACTGTGAAGAAACAGTGACTTGACTTTACTTTCCCTAAATATGTGGTAAATTATCAGCATGGAGGCTAGATAAGAAATAGCCTGATACAGGAGCATTCTTATGAAGTGTTAAGCCAAATTAAAACTCAAGTGTACTTCACTAAATGTGTACTGATGTGTCCCATTTTATTCTTATTAAAACAATGGAAATATTTCATTCTGATGTGTCACTGGCAGTTTGGGGTCAAGGACTGGAATAATTACTTGGTTTTAGTATACACAGGCCTCATGTTGAGTGCCCTTTCTTCACTCCCGGAGTCTGGGTTGATTGTGAGATAGGGTGTATAACCTAGTTTAGTATGCAGAAACCTGCAAAGGCTTGTTCTTGTCCTTATTCAGAGTGGAAAACCTCCAGAAGATCAAATCATTGATTGAGTCCTCCTCAGAATGCCTGAAGTTCCTGGAGTAAAAACTGAACTGGCTTCTTTGGACCATTAAGGATTCAACTGGACAGAATGCCTTGGGGGGTGATGGGTTAAAATGGCCTCACATTCTTAGGGACCATAATATATTAGTCTGTCATAAAGCCCTTTAGGACCCTATCATGTTTGTGTGTCCTCTGCGGTATTTACCTTTTTAAGGGTGATACATCATCACTCAGTTATTAAAGTCACTATTAACTGGGTTTTAATATTAAAGCATTTTATTGGATTTAATTTCTCTCAAAGTGTTAAATGAAAATGAAGTTTGAAAATTCAGTAGTGTTTCTGACTCAGTATCTAGTTTACAGAAATGGGCAGTAGACAGGTTAGTTATCTAGAAAATAAAAAAAAATGGGGTCTAGTTATTAGGTCAGATTTGGGAGGGGAGAGAGAGACAAAAGAAAGAGAATGAGAAAGAGAAAAGAGAAAATGAGAAAGAGGAAGAGAGAGTGAGAGAAAGAGAGAGACAGAGACAGAAAGAGAAACAGAGAGAGAGACAGAGACAGAGAGAAAGATAGGAGATCAAGCCTTGGTACAGAAATGCTAGCTATATAAAGGAAAATTAGGGCACCTTGGCATCTAGTTTGAATAAATAGTTTCAGCTGTGTAATGGAATACTCTGCTACTGTCTAATTGCTGGACAGAAGTATACAGAAAGTCAGGTATACCTATGCTAATGTGATTTTTGTGTTAGGACCTAGCAAAATGGAAAAATCGTCGAAAAAGTTATACTTCAGATCTGCAAAAGAAAAAGGAAGAGAGGGAAGAAATTGAAAAGCAGTCTCTTGAGAGGTCTCAGAGGAGCTCAAAAACATTTGGAGAAATTCTCCAGGACAGGTAAGAAAGCTGGTTTGCATTTGTCTTTTTAAATGTTTCCAATTTGAGCTGATGAGACTGAATGAATTCTAGTAGTTGCATTTCATAGAAGGTAGTGTTAGAACTAGATCTTTTCTTCTCTTTTCATTTTTCTCCCAGCTTGGCATAGCTGTTGTTTAGAAGCCATTGACCGGCAGGTTAATCATTTGTAAACCTGTACTTTGAAATGCAGTGAAAATATTCAAGGTTTTGTTCTAAGTGAAAAAACAAACAAAAAGCCCAAATAAGATGTAATAAATAGTGGTATGGCTTTATAAAAGCATTTTGTGTTTAAAACAGGTGATATGTTCTTTTGTCATTTCACACTGGGAATGAGCTGATGAAAGCTGCTAATGTGAAAATATATTGTTTTTCTTTTGTTAAATAATTTCACAAATTTTATTAAAATAACTCAAGTGTGCATATCTGATGAAATGAACATTCAATCTTACTTTCAATTTGAAGAAAGCAAATTTTTCCCTTGAAAACAAAAAGATATTATAACCTGAACTATGATTTTGTGTGTTGCAAAAGATCACAGAAAAGGACATGTGAACTTTTCCTCTATGCAATTACCATATGAAACCCTATGACACTTCCTTGCCAAAGAGAAAGCAAATATGTCTTAACAGAAACATATAAAAGGAAATAGGCTAGTGAAATTCAACAACACTCTCTTTGTGCTGTGGAAGCCAACTATAACCATAGTTTCATTCCTTTCATTGGTATAGGCTGAACATGAAAGTTGTATGCTTGTACAGTGATCATTTTATATTCAAATTAACCCCTTTATGAATGTAAAACACAAATGTGATTCAGTCATTTCTAGTAGAGTTTTACAGAGCTGTATGAAATTAGATACTAATTGAAAGTGAGAAAGGTCTTTAAAACTCTGTGTGGTTCTTTTGTTGTTTTTCATTCATAAAGAATAAAATTTTTTTAAAAAGCTCAACATTTTTGCTTAAAACTTGTTTTTAGCCAATGTGATATGTTCATATTAAGTGTATATGTGTGTATATTTGTGTGTGTGCGTGCATATATAACATATGTGTGTATATGTATATGTGTATATATGTTTTAAAAGAGAACTTCTATCGTAGTACCTTAATATCTTTTGTATAGTTTCCTTCATTTAGGATGGATGGGGTGGGTAAATTGTTGGATTTCTAGTAAATAAAATCGAATGAAGCTGCAGGGTGGCTAATCAGATACTTTAAAGTGTATACAATTGTTAGTCACTTTTATCTTGAATCCTGAAAGGAAAATTGCAAGCTATTTGCTCTTTTCTCCCCTCCTTTCTTTTCTTAATTAGTGTGAATTATAGTTTGTTTACTATTTTGTGTGTTAGCTATCTGAATAAGAACTGTAACCCTATCCTTTGTACCAATGCTCGGCTGTAGTTTCACCAGTTCATTGTGTTATTAGAAAGAGCTTGGGTCTTAAGAGGTAAAAGAGCTGGGTTTCAATTCTGATTCCTATACTTGCTAGCTCTGTGACCTGGGGCCAGACCCTTGGCCTCCCTTACCCTTATGTTTCTCATCTTTAATATGAGCGTAATATTTGCACTACCTTCCTCACAGGATTGTTGTGAGGGAAAATGCCTCTTGTAAACCTAAAGGCAAGATATAAATGTGAAGTGGTATTCTTCTCCTTTAAGGGAAATCAGAAACCAAGAAACCAACAGTCTTCGGCAGAAAACATTTGATCATGAGAGAATGTATTCTTCTAATGATGAGGTATTCAATGAAGCAAAAGAGTCTCCTGTGCCGACTTTGACAAGAGAAAGTTACCTGAATGAGGGAAGAGAGAAGGAAGTGACTTATGGTGCAGAGAGTGGTAAAGAAAATTCTTCAAGCCTTTTGAAGATGGAGGACTATGGAACAGCAGAAATTCAGGTTCCTTCTCAAAGCCTGACAGAGAAACAAAGCTCAGCCTCAGCTTTGTCTTCTAACCATTCACTGAGTATACAAATGGGACCTGCTCGGGTTTCAGCATCTCTCCCCAGAAGTTACCAGAAAACTGATACATCTAGATTAACATCGGTGGTTACGCCAAGACCTTTTGGTTCCCAGTCGAGAGGGATCTCATCACTTCCCAGATCTTATACGGTAAAAACTCCTCTGGGTTCTTTGTTAGTCTTTCTTGAATAGTAAGATGTTGGGGGTACTTGTGTAAATAGATTTAAATTACCTGTAGTTGATCTCCATGGAAAAGCCAAATCAAGTAAAACAGTTTTACCTTGAGATTTAACTGAAATTTAGTATTTAAAATAGAAATGTACTGTAAATGGTAGGGATGGAGAATTTACTGGGCTCAGTCATCATTGAAAGCGAGCTGAGCATTTTTGAGCAGGTTTGTATAGAACAATGCACAAGAAGAATAAAATGACTCTACATGAATATCCTAACATTTTGTGGCATGGATCTAAATGAATACTATATGCTTATTTTGGAAGATTACATTAAAACATGCTTTTCCTAATTTTTTTCCACTTGTTTTTGATAGCCTATAATCTATTTAGTGCTATCTATTTCATGTGTGTTTGCATATATTGCTTATGTGTTGTCTCTCTGAGAGGGTAAACAGCAACAAATCTTTGTGCACATTCATTTTAACTAAGCTGATAGACGGTGTAGAGACTTTTAAAGAAGACAAAATATAGGAAAGAAATGAGAGGAAAAACCAAACTGAATGACCCTGCCAAAATGGTGTGATTCTCTCAATTTAGATGGATGATGCTTGGAAGTACAATGGAGATGTAGAAGTCACTAAAAGAATTCAAGAAAGTTCAAAAAGTGGCTCTTTCTCAAAATCAGATGACAGCCAGCTTCACTCAAGCTCAGCCTTGAAACGTGTTGAAGTGGAAGCAAAAGAAAGTGAGAAGACAGCGCCACCCACTACACCCTTGTACTTGCCCATTTCCCAGGAACGTGATGCTTTTCCTAAATCAGAACAGCCTTTAACTTCTGACTCTTTGTCAGTTTCTGAGTCTTTAGAAGGGAGAAATTCTTCATCACCTGAGCCTTCAAGGACAAAGGTAAGTTTGGATAGCTTATAATTAGCCTTAACAATTCAGAAATACTCACATACTATGGGAAACACCCATTATGCAAATCTGGAAGCCACCATACTTAGGTCTTTAATTGTGGTCATTCAGAGAATGATAGCATATATGACTTCTAGTGAGTATTGGGAAAATATAACCCTTGTAAAGTATTAGTTGTACTTTGGAAACATAGAGGTTACATGGACTAATCTCCATGGTTCACTGGAATTTTTTGTCTACTACTTGTTTCAGTAGCTTTTTGGCTCTTACTTGTCTAAATGTGATGACTTGAAGTGCAATGGATCATATTGGAGTTTTTTGTAGTAGCTCTAAAGCATATTTGGGTTAAGACAACTTCTTCATGAAGGGAGCTTGAGAGCTATGATTTCAGGGATCTCAAAGATATTGGGAAACATTTTGTGGTAGGCATTAGCCTTTCTTTTCCACCTTGTTTACTCCTGTTGAATTTGGTAATTTGTTGGAACTGTGCTCCACTGTCATAATGATTTCCTTAATGGGAATATCTAAACTAATTGTGAAAATAAGAATTATTAGTCTTAACATACTTAATCCCCAAATAACCAATAAATCCATAAAAAAATACCAAAACTAACAAGACTGTTGATGGATCATTTATAATTTTTTCTCTACAAACACTAGAATGTACCGAATTGGAGGTTTTATGAGATTATTAGTTAATTAGCTCTGTCATTATTAGATAATGGGTATATGTTGAATAAAGGACTTTTTAGCTGTTAATGGCTTTCTCCTCTGTCCTCTTTTCTCTCTCTCTCCTTCTGTATTCTTTCTATCTCTCTATTTATTGTTACCTACCTCTCTTCCTCTCTCTGTCTCTTTCCCTCTCCCTCCTTCTATCTCTCTTTTTTCCTTTCTCCCTGTCCCTCTTTTCCCCCTCTATTTCTCCCTCCTCCTCTTTGTTTCCTTTCCCTTCCCTTTCTCTCCCTCCTCCCTCCTCATCTCCTGTTTTCCATCTCTCTCTTCTCCCTCAATCCATTTTTTCTTCTCTACCTCTTTCTTTTCCCCCTCTTCTCCCTTTCTTCCTCTTGTACACAAAGAAAATCAACAACCAACAAAATCACACAAGAGTAGCGGATAACTTCACTGACATTAGGCATTAAGCAATACTTTGTAGTTCTATTGGATTTATCTTGTATTTTTGTGCTAGGTTTTGTTTTTGTTTTTTGTGTTCAGGGTAGAAGGGAAAACATTGAACACTGAACCCTAACCTAGAGTGAATTGAAGAGGGAGATTACTTAAAATAACTCTAAGTAGCCTATATCTACATCTAAAATAATCCCAGCTTTTTCTTTGTGAGCAACTGAACCCTAACCTAGAGTGGATTGAAGAAGGAGATTACTTAAAATAACTCTAAGTAGTCTATATCTTCATCTAAAATAATCCCAGCCTTTTTTTTTTGTGAGCAACAATTTAAGACTTCAGATTGTTAAAATCACAAAGCATGGGCAATTTTATTACATTGTTTCTAAAAATAGTCAATATTTTACTAGGGCCAGAGAATTCTTAACAGATGGGAAAGAAAATTCCAATAATTTGGAAAAACAAGTAAGAGGCTGAGACATAATAATAAAAGTGAAAGCCCTTTGTTTTATATGGCCACTGATGAGTAAGCTTATCTCTAACCTGTTTGGTATACTGTTTGGTTATATAAGTACTGCCCCATAGGTGGTAGATAGTACCTGTCTTAAGGATGGAAGCAGATGAGATGACCTTGAAGGTTTGAGAGAAAATAGATGTGGAGTGAATGTATTCTGGATTTTAGAGATTATAGGAGTTTTATCTATCCATTAGTGAATATAGCTGCTTCTTTGTCAGTTAACTTGAAATGGAAAGCCACTGAACAAAATAATGTTATATTTGATGAGTGGAACCAAAGGAACTATCTGTACATAATTTTATGTGCTCATTTTTGTATATTTCTAAGTGTGTTGCTATTGCAGTTGTGGGGAATCACCAATCTTTAGATATTAGGTGATTAGCATCCTGCTTGGTGGTCTCAGGAATTAGATGCAATTAATGTATGGGACTTGGTCCTTCCGCCTGAGGATTTTACAGTCTTTGTGGGAAGATCAGATATACAAACATAAGGAACTATTCAGAATGACTCAGAGCAGCCTGTAATCAGTTGATCAACAAGTATTTATTAAATTCGTATTATGTGTCAGGTACCATGCTAAGTGAAGGAGATGTAAAGAAAAATGAAAATGAACCCTTGTTTTCAGGAGATTACATTCTAATGGGGGAGACCAGATGTAAAAATATAGGTGAATACATGATTCAGACAAAGTACCTATAAGCTTCCTTTAGAGGGGAAGGCACTAATAGCTGGTGGGACTGGAAAAAGGCCTATGCTAGTGTCAGTAGGTGAGCTGATTATGTTGCTTTGGCTTTAAGTATGGGGATTCGGTGAAGGGCAAGATTGAAAGAGATTTGAATTTTCTGAAAGGTTGCATGGAAACAAGAAGATTTGAACTAAAATTTCCTTGAAGAATATATAAGCTTTCTAGTACCAGGGAAGGCAGTGGACAGTATTTCAGGTAGGACAAATGTAATACCAGGAATGAAGAAGAGAATCAATATGGTAAGTGTTAGGGATATTAAGAAAATGGACTTGAGTAAAAGATTTCTCTTGGTATCTATTGATAGAATATCTGGAGGTTGCTGAAAGTGGTTAGGAAGATTAACCTGTAGTTGTGTGAATGATAATCTGGAAGTAGGAAGACAGAGAAGGAGGATATTAGTGTTGTCCCAAGAGTAGGGTGATAAATGTCATATATATATCTACATATCTATATATCTATATATCTATATATATTCTGTATATAGTTATAAATAAGTATATAGCTGTAATTATATAAGGTGTATATATATATATATATATATGTATATATATGTTCTGTATATAACAATAATCTTTGACAACAGAGATTTAGAGCTATGAGGGAATCTAAGTGATACTGTAACCTTGTTTTAAAGATAATGAGATTAGGGCTTTTGAGAGGTTAAAAGACTTGAAAAAGGCCACATGATAAATAGAGAAACTGAAATTTGAACCTAAATCTTTTGACTCCAAATCTAACACTTTTTTCTATTATAACCTGATAGGGGTACTTAGTAAAATTCTTTCCCATTCTTTTTTATATTTCATTTATTGCAGACCCTCTGATTATTTGGTAATCCTACTGCTCCCCTTCCTCCCACTCCCTATAATTAGCCCTTAGTGCTAGCTTGTTATCATATCCTAGAGACACTCTGAGCACCTAGGATGGCACAGTAAATAGAGTGCTGGGTATGGAATCTGGAAGACCTGAGTTCAAATCTGGCCTCAGACACTTAGTCGTGTGACCCTGTCACTTAACTCTGTTTGCCTCAGTTTCTTCATCTACAAAATGAGCTGGAGAAGGAAATGGCAAACCACTCCAGTATCTTTGCCAAGAAAACCCCAAATGGAGTCACATAGTTTTGAACACGACTGAACAACCACAACAGTAGAGATGTTCTAGTACTGGGTCTGTGATATCAGAATTGGCCATGACAAAAGGAGGTAGGGAGAGCTGTTATGGTCCCTGGCACCTTACCCCTAAACTTAGTAGCTTTGGGGCAGGTTTAATTAGGAAGATCTACTGCGTCCTCCTTTGCAAGAGACCTCATCCTTTTTCTTACCTCAGAGCTGCTTTCTCCAATTCCTGTGAAGAAATGCTTTGGATAATTGATCTGGAATAGAGTGATTTGTGTTTTCTCTGAAATGTGGTGTGTTCCCTAAGTCTTAGTGAAGTTTTAAGTTTTAATAGCTTTCATAGCTTAAAATTATACTGAGAGTTTTGGGACACCCACTGTGGACCTATCTTATCTTCTATTATCACTTGTGTGATAAATCTCCCATGTAAATTGAGGTGGCATAGTCAATAGAGAGCTGAGGATGGAGTCAGGAAGACCTGAATTCAAATCTAGCTTTAGATACTTACTTGGTTGTGTGACCCTGGGCAAGTCACTTAACCTCTGCCTGACTCAGTTTCTTCAACTTTAAAATAAAGATAATAATGGACCTTTCTCCCAAGGTTATTGTGAGGATCAAATGAGATAATATTTGTGAAGTACTTAGCATAGTGCCTAGGATATAGTAGGTGCTCAATAAATGGTTTTCCCCTTCCCTTCTCCATAAGTTCTATATGAAAAAAAAAAAAAGACGGAAAGGAACTTTCCCTCTTACTTATTGCTCATTGTTGACCCTTACAAATACTTAATTATGGGACCAGAAAGTAACTTGGGATTGTGCTCTGTTCTGTAATGAGCTAGCTAGAGAAAAAGAAGAAACCCTTGCCAAAAACAATAAATAGGAGAATTGAAGGGAAGCAGGTGAGGAACTCCCTTGGGATTGGGTGTAATACCTGGAATCAAGAAGTGCACCTAAGGTTTATGCTTCAGTAAGTCCAATTGTCGAGACTTAACTATTTCTGTGATCCCGGGCAAGTTAAATTAACCTCTCTGAGTCTATTTCCTGACATGCAAAATGGAGGTGAAAAATACCTGTAATACTTACTTTGTTGTGTTATTGTGAGTTCAAATGGGATGATCTATGCAAAATGCTTTGTTCACCTTAAGGCAGTGTATAAATGTCAATTATTATTTGTTATTATTATTTCATTTTCATCTTTATGTTCAATGGAAATTGCTGTTGCTGTTGTTGACCTTTGAACTTCTCTTTTCACCCTACCCTCACCTTATCCTGCTCTGCTGGATCTCTTCCTTCAGGCCATGAAACTCATCATTTGTAGTTAGTTATTTTGGCTGGTAGGAATGAGAACTAAAGAATTTCAGAGTTGGAAGGGACCTTAGCTGCAATCTTATTCTATCTATATTCCATCCCTCCTGTCCCCCATATTTTCCACTATAACACACCCAATGTGTTCTCATCCAGCATTTGTTTGGAGACCTATCAGGGCAAAACATCT